GGGGAACCCAAGGGCCCCAAACCCTGCCACCACCTCCCCAGGGTCGGCCAGCCAGATGACTGTCAGCTAGGGTGACCTGGATGGGCCCACATAGATCCAGAACAGCCTGGCCAGCAGTGGACTTCCCCACCCCAAAGGAGTGGGCCAGCCTCACGATGGCTATGGCCACACGTTTCTCTGGGGTGAGGGCTGGATGGATCAGTGTCTTGCCGCTCAATGTTAGGGGCCACCTGGGCCACCAGGTGCATGAATGCCCCTTGACATCCAGAAGGTCTGTATCTAGTGTGCATCATCCCAGGTGGGGAGGACTGTACACTCCCACCAGTGTTTATTGGTAGCCCAGACCCAGGTGTGTCAGAACATGTGGGGAATGATGACAGGGTCTTCATTGTCAGCTGCTCCCTCTGTTGGGTCCAGCCTGGCGGGTCCAGCCGTAGTGGGGCAGAGGTCTGTAGCTGGGCCTGGCAGCATGGGTATGCTCCTCCCCAGCAGGGCCAGCTGGGACTCTCAGCCCCGAGCTAGGCAGGTGACTCTGGTTCCATACCGGGCTGTCTAGATGTAGTGATGCTGCTGTGTAGCCACAGCCTGCTGGCAGCTGGCCCAGAGGTTCAGGTGGCTCTGCTTCAGGGCCCCCCAGGTGGCTGCGTGGTCTGTGTCTGGTATGTGTGCAGCCATGGGGCCACTAAGTCAGGACAGCTTTGGCAGTCCAGTTGGTACAGAGGGCTGGTGTCTCCAGATGCCACGTGGCCGGGCCTCAGAAGCTCCTGAGGGCAAGTAGCCCTAAGCTGCTGGCCAGGGTAACTTTTTTATACTGCTGGAGCCAACACAGGTGCTGGCTCTAGGCTCTACCTCCCCCCTGGCTGCAGATCTGGAAGAAACCAGGCCCAAGTGGCACAATTTGCCCCATACCAAAGTGCATGTCTGGGCATGTGCACAGTGGCAAAAAGCCCATGCTCAATTTTGCATTACTTCTATTTGAGCTGCTGCAAGTGCACATGCCTGCATGTGTGGATGTGCCCATGGTGAGCAATCCTGCCTAGACAGACAGGTACAAGCAAAGGATGAGCTGGCAGTGGCTCTGGCTTTGTGATGTCCTCCAGGCATTTCTTTAGGTCTCTTAATGCACTGCCTCTCTTTTCCTGCCTCTCCTTCCAAGCAGACCTTCCCAAGAGAATTCCCCTGTAAGCTGGCATGTTTGCTGCTCCTTGGCCCCAAAAGGTTCCCTTTTCTCTGCTTCCTCTCACCAAGCTTGCAGTGAAGGAAGGTGAGAGAGAGTTTCCAGGCAAACTCCCTAGTGAACTCCCTTCAACTGCCCCTTGCTCTGGGCTCTATTTAAACATGAGGCTAAAGCATTGTTGCAACTGCTGAGTTTTAGCTACCTACATCTACCAATATGTATAGATTAGTTACTCTTAATTAAAGAAGAAACTTACCTTAAAGGCTCGCCTTCAAAGAGTAGAGGCATTGGAGCAGCAAACATCTGCAAACTGATTTGGGAACTACTTGGAAACTGCCCTGCTTACTGTCCCTGTTCACTTGCCCCTGGTTGCTTTGGGACCTTTTTTACTCTCTTGGGCCTGGACTGGCTTCACCCCCTTGTTAGGGCTTTTGTTGGACACAGAATACAACCACCCAGCTAGGAGTACTTCCAGCTGCTCAGAGCACGTGCCCAAACACACAGCCCACCAAACACTCAGCAAACCAAACGCACAGGCAGCCCTGGCTCATTTACCTTCCCAGAGCAGGATCTGGTACCTGGCTCCATATTATGATGGCATAATATTCCAAGATTTAAAATGGTTTAAAGGTAACCTGTAACAGTGCCTTAAGAGACTGAAACATTTCCACAATTTTCACTGCAAATGTTAATTACTGCACTTTTTAGTGAATGCCTTCTTAAAAAACAAACTACCAGTAGAACTATTTGTAATATTATGTGTATAGATGGGTCTGAAAAAATGCTTGAATCATAACATTTCTAAATTTCGATACAAACTAATTTCTGTAGCTACTCCAGCCTCTCAGTTTGGCTTACAGGTTTGCATTATTAATGAATCTACACTTTCTGAAGGGAAACACTCTTAAAAACTGGCAGATTCAGCTAAATGTTAATACCTTATAAATGTAATGAATATGAAATATAGCATAAATCACAATGACAAAGGAAGCATTGAGCTAAATTTTAGTGGTTCACCTGCCTCATAATTGGTGGGTGTGTCTACCGCTGGAATAAGGATGCCATACTTTAATAGTGTGTTCTGACCTGATATAACAAACTGTATGTTAATATATTGCTTTTTTTGGGGCTGGGGGGTAGGCAATATATGTGTTCCAGAAAGCTGCAATTTTGTGTATGCTTCCTGATGATGATGTGAAGAAAACTGGGGAGGACGTTGTATCTTTGTTCAGGTAAATTTTTACATTCTCGGTTAAACTAGAATGAAACAGCTAGGAATGCATTTTG